AGGCTGCACTAATATGCACTGTTATGCTGCACTGATGGGCACTGATGAGGAGGCACTGGTAGGCACTGATAAGGTGTCACTGATGAGATGGCATTGATGGCACTGATGAGCTGGCACTGATAGGTGGCACTGATGGGCGGCACTGATAGATGGCAATGATGGGCACTAATAGGCTGCACTGATGGGCACTGATTGGCACTGATAAGCTGCACTGATGGGCACAATAAATGCAGTTTCAGTCCACACCATTAAAAACTGTCAGTATATGCTGTATTACATGCTGTTCATACTCACTCAGTCACCATGGGATTAATTTTTCTGTATTCTGCAAAAAATCTGGTTGATCCTGCTTTTCACTGTCCCTCCCTCATTGTCTGTGTCCCCACTGCAGCCTGAGATTATGTAGCCCGGCCGTTGCCACATCTACTGAGGATGTTACACAAATGTGATAAAGATATGAGTTCAAATACATATTTGTATGACAATTTAAAACATTTCATTGACACTAATTATGTATTTTTCCTTTGTATTTTGAAGGCTTTTTTTTTTCGAACATGTGACCAGAAGCAGAGGACTAGAAACTTCTTCCATGGATGTTTCCCTGCAGATGAGCTGGGAAAGAACTGGGTCACGTGTCCACTGTACATCACGTATGAAAAAAGGTACTTAGATTTTTTTTTAAACAAAAATATCCATTATCCATATACATAAAGAGAATGGATAATATAAATGAAACAGTGTGTGTTTAGTATCCCTTTAAATACATTTTTCTACTATATTTTATCTTTATATCTAGTAATGACATGAACAGAGGGAGTTTAAGATGAAACAAATCTATGTGTGCTATGATTTTATGAAGTCAAGCAGCTTTTCATGAGGGATGTTTACTGGCTGAGCAGGCATATATGTTGTTAAGCAGGTTAACCTTCATTCTTTGCCTTCATGCATATGGGCCTTGACATCCATTTTGTGTGCAGGCCATGTTTTGTTTTTGTGCCTGCATCTGCCTCGAGCTGCGTGCAAGCAGCCAATAGAGCTCAAACAAATGAAGCTGCTGCATAGACACAGCCAGACATGCATGTTAAAATTGTTGTGTTAAGATCCATGCAGCCACCCAATCCTGCAAGCATGTCAAATTTTGGCATATCTGGAAAATGTAGAGTAGCCCAAGAAGACACACTCAGTATTGTGCTATGGATTTTTTTTTTTCTTCACATTTATGCTGAGTATTTGTAAGGGAGACACACTTAAAAATGAACCTTTTGTAGCACCCTCTAGTGTACATAGATACATTTTAGTTTGGCTCACAAGTAGCTGAAGTGAGCATGTCTGTGTGGTTCAAGCTCAGGTCCTGCTGGAGGGTTCTGCAGGTCAGGTCTCTGTTGCCTCAACCTCGTTCTGGAAGTTGCCAGAAACGTCTAGAAGCTAGTGGGCAGGGGCAGGAATCTGAATATTCATGGGAGTTTAACCAATCCCCAGGCAGGAGGCCTGGCAGCGTGGTAGGATGTGCCTATACATATTGAAGAGTAGGGGTTTGTTGCTGGTTGGAGTATGGAGTGCTGAGTCGAAGACTGTGAAGCCTGGAGGGGACCCCTGGGGCTGGGGGCTTTGTCTCCAGGCAGGAGCTGAGGAAGGGAGGCAAGGAGCAGTTTGATCAGAGGGTTCTTCAACACCCTTCAGTCTCATCCAGGAGACACCGTGTATTGCAAGGGAGGACTTGTGCAGCAGGTGGACTGAACAGCAGTCTTAGCTGAGCAGCAGGATATCAAGGGACACTGAGTATCTCCACTTACCATCTCCAGAGCCAACAAAGGGAGAAGGCAGCCAGAAGCTATATTTGGCTAGACTAAAAAGGGAAAGTGCCACAACTTACCTTAACCCTTCCCTTGCTCTGGGATTCACTCATAGAAGCATTTTCCAGTAAGGGGACATAAAGTTGGGACTTTACTATTTCTACTAAGGGGACATCGAGCTCCTAAAAACAGATGGGATATTCATTACTGATCCACTGAGGACTTTTCCAGAGAGAGTCTAGGATCCATTTTGGCTGCAAGTTGTACATAGAGAAGTTGTCCTCCAAGTTGATGTTGAACTCAATGTGGACATCCCATAACCCCCTTATCCCCATCCAAGTTTATATTCAATCAATAAAACATAAAGACAATCCCAAGGACTGGTTATTGACTGAGAATTTAAGTTGGAAAAATTAATGTTGCCTGGCTGTGCAGACAAAGGGCAGTAGCACTTAAATAGCTTTAAATATTCATTTACAGGTAGGGAAGGACCTTGACTAACCTGCAAGGCTGTACAGAGGGAGGCATGAGTAGCAACTGATGCTTTGGGAGGCAAAGCTGTCCCTGCATCCTCCATCCATATGCTGCATTGTGAAAGACTTGAGCTGTCAAACTGCGCTCCGTCCTGCAGATTACACAGGGAGACTGTGGCCCACTGGGGTTGATTTACTAAAATTGGAGAGTGCAAAATCTGGTGCAAGTCTGCATAGAAACCAATCAGCTTCCAGGTTTTTTTTTTTTTTTTTGTCAAAGCTGAAATTAGAAGCTGATTGGCTACCATGCACAGCTGCACCAGATTTCGTGCGCTCCTGATTTAGTAAATCAACCCCATTCTGTATCAGTAGCTATTGATAAACAGAGAAAAGTGCCCAGCTGTTATGGAGCTCCAATGATTACACAGAGAGGTATATTTTCCTTGTGTAATCTGCAGAACTGAGCTGTTCTGCATTCATTTATTAATTAAAGCTAATATTGAATCTTTCATTTATTAATTACTGTTGTGTGGGAAAAACACATTTTAGCCCCTGTTTAAGTCTTAGAATAGTTTTATTAACTCCATATGTCTCCCTTAGTATTTTTTTTTTTGCTTTTTTTTTGTTAAAATTGTTGTATATTAGCTTCTCAAATTTACATTTGTTCCTGTTTGAAAAAAATGCTTTGAACCAGAAACATGACTATTTTGTCTTTATAAAAGGAACACATCACAAAATAAAGTTTGTAGTTAACCCTTGTTAGTTTTGGTTTAACCCTAAAAGCACACTAATAGTATGTTTCAAATGTACACATATTTTATATAAACTGATTTTTTAAAACATTTGTTTTCTTAAGATGTCATCATTACACTTTTAAAAACCTTTATAAATAGATTTTAAACCAATTCAGAGAAATTGTTTGAAGGCATCTTCAAACAACAATGGTTCTGCACAGGGGATTAAACCAAAAAAAAATCCAAAAACGCGTATTACAATTCCACAAGGATAGCCTAATTCTTCCCACAACATGATTATTTAAATCAACTCTTGGCAAACCACTAAATATGCAGTTGATATACATATGTGAAATCTGTTTTACCTGCAAGGGGATTTGTAATTCTGTTTAGTCAGCTTTGTGAACTGTGCTTTGACATACTTGCAGACTATCAAACAATTGCTCAATACTGTTTGACCTAAAAGCCAATCTTTGAAGATTGAAGGGGCAGCAGCACATAAATTAGGTCATCTTTGTCCTCTTTTCTGTAAGCACTTCCACTTTAAGACTGGGTAGCATAAATGTACGTCACCAGGTCTAAGTGGTTATACTGGGATGATGCCTGCAGATACAGGCATCATCCCAGTAATGTTTTTTTTGTACCACCTCCCCCACCTTTCAGATTGTAAACTCCATAAGCAGGGCCCTCCTATTCTTTCTGTATTGAACTGTATTGCAATTGTACTGTCCCCTTTAGATTGTAAAGCACTGCGTAAACTGTTGGCACTATATAAATCCTGTATAATATTAATAATAGCCAGTGATGGACTTATATCTAAATGCAGTCCTAGTGGTTAATTAGCTACTGAATTATTTTTACAGGTGGCGGAAGGGGGTTCCCCCCTCCATTGCCTTTTTGGGCTCTCCCATCCCACCAGGGAGCCCGGACTGAAGCTGCTAATTTACCATAGAGGTGATCAGGAACAAGATCTTCCCTGATCATCTCTATGGTATTAGAAACCAGACGAGTATTTTCTCACTTCCAGTTTCTGCAGAAAGTAAATAAGCCATTTTTGGCTTGGAAAAGCATTGGATCGAAGATATCCAATTTTTGTCTGATGCTTTTAAGGGCAGAATAGACACCTGGGGTCTAATAGACCCCAGATGTCTCAATAAAGAGGATCTGTCACTGCTTAATGCTATCACAGCGGATGTTTACATTCCTTGTGATAGCAATAAAAGTAATTTAAAAAAAAACTAAAGAAACAGTGTAAAAATAAAAAAAATCAAAATATTTTTTTTAAAAGTAAAGTTCCCCCATCTCACCGTGCTTACTCCCAAAGGCGACCGAATGCGTTGGTCCCTCATGCATACATAAACGGTGATCACAGCACATATCTGAGGTATGGTCGCGAACGACAGAGTGAGAGCAAAAGTTCTAGCACCAGACCTCCTGTGTAACTCTAAACTGGTAACCTGTAAAAGCTTTTAAAGCTTTGCCTATGAAGATTATTAAGTACTGTGGCAACCATTGCAAGAGCCTGTACAATTTTAAAGTGTGAGTGTAGGTATCTATTTATTCAGTGTAACATCTTTTATATTTGTCAAAAAAAAATTGGGTATTATATTGTGTTTTTGTGCATTCAAACTCATTAACCTCCCTAGCGGTCTGATTATGTCCATATTTCTGTGCTCAAAGCGGTACTTTTTTTGCATGGAAATATGTATTTTTTTTTATTGTAGGCCTGTAATTTTTAGGAATAACTCACTGAAATCTGTCCAAACAAGAGTCTAGTAAACATCCCAGGTATGTTAAAATTTGAAACACAAAATCATAAATTATAATTTAATGAATAATCCTAGAAAAAAAAATAATATAATATTACATTTAATTCAATAATATAATCAAACCAAACACACTGAAATTTTAAATATAGCGCCAAGTTCACACATCACTGAGCAAAGTCGCAGAATCGTTTTCAGTGCCTGATGACGAATTTCCCCACAAATCATTATCACTCAATTCTGCAAGTGGTTCTAATTTACTATCGCTGTTCTCTAGCTGGTCTAAAACCGCTTTTGACCTAAAGGGACGCTTTTTGTATGCCATGGATGGTTCTCAGATTCTAGGCAGAAAGAACAGTAAAAATGCAGGCAGGGCACAGGACAAAGCACTAGGGACAAAATGTATGTGAAATGGTGTGATACAGTAATATTTTACTATGTTATTTTAGTGAATTTAGTGAATGTCACTTTTTGTCATTTTCAAATTTTCCGCCAGTTTCATCCCCGTACGTCCCGACGCTCTCAGGGGATGGAACCCAGATGACAGATACCAGCATCCTCCAGAGGACATTACAAGGGACACTGCAGGAGGGACATTGCGGGAGCGCAGGACAAGGTGAGTGATCGAGGGATCCCGGAGCAGCACCACATGGTAAGCCCGAGTGTAGCCTGGGGTTACCGCTTGTGCTACTGAAACTTTACCCCGAGTTACACTCGGGAATACCGCCAGAGAGGCTACAGTGTATTTTTAACAAAAATTTTGCGTTTGAAAAACGACATAAAAAAAAAAAATCGCAAAACCCACTCTTCAATTCTCTAGGGCCTCTGCTTAAAAAAAGTATAATGTCTAAGTAACTTTCTATCAAAAAATCCTGTTTTTTTTCATGTAAACAAAAAGTGTCAGAATAGGCCTTGTCTTCAAGAGGTTAAACAATAGATCCCTAACTGGTTTAAACGTGCCGATCCAGGCCTAAAAGCTGAAAAAGCTATGCACAGGATTGAAGGAGGTTGATATCAAGATTAATTTCTTTCATCTAATAATATAAAATGTACATCAACGTAGCTCTGTCACTATTTTTAAGGAAGGTAAACAGGCAATCCCTACAGAGCATGCAATTAATAATTACCTGTCCTGTAGCCCTCACTGCAGAGCTCCTCTACATTGAAGATGTAATTTTGCAAAGATATATGCTACATCTGGCACTTCCTAGAATGTCACATGCTGGCATTCCCCAGTGCACTCTGTGGTTTCATCTGCCAGCCTTGATGTCAGTCTAGGACACAATACCGGAGGGGCAACTGGAAGGAACCATAAAGGACAGATGGGGACTAGGCATCAAACACACCCAAATGTTTACTGAAATCTGAAGATCTTTGACTATCTCTTTAATGTAGAGCTTGTCAGCATGGGCACCTAGGTGAGGGATTACTGTTTTCCCCCTTTAAACATAGAGACAGAGTCAATTTAAAGATGTTTTAATGCATATATGCCTGCATTGTGTTTTTATGTCATCCTGTAGTTCGGCTTTTAAAAGAAATGTAGAACATACTGACTGTGATTGCACCAAAGAACATAACCATAGTTTTATAACAAGGTACACTGCAAACATTAACATAATTAAACAGATGTCTAAACATCTGTGCATTCTATTAGACCTGTTATTTTATCTAATTAAAATACAGATTTTGTCTTTAGGTGAGCAAAGGCATTAAAATAATTATCTTGCTCCCAGTCAGTTGAGTCAGCCGAGTTATCTGACAACATAAAATGAGAGAGGGTGGTAACAAACACTAAAGTAATGCACTGCATTAACACACAATGTACAAAAGCATGATACATAACATATTTTGTATTACGGTGCATTATTTACTTTACTGTTACTATAAAAAAAAAAAAAAAATTCAATTCATTAAAGGTATCACGTAATGTGCCAACTGAAATAACCTCTTAGATTGTAAGCTCCAAGGACCAGGGTCCTCCTAACCCTCTTGTATTGTTGCTGTATTGTCTCCCTTTATATTGTAAAGCGCTGAGCAAACTGTTGATGCTATATAAATCCTGTATAATAATAATAATTACTTCATGATATTTTACTGTATTTAAGTTACTAGGAAATGTGTGTCTGTTATTTTACAGTCACTGTTACTGTCACTGATATGTCAGGTGATGGTGCCTGGTAGTTTTGAATCGAGCTACATTATGTGGTCAATGTGGTTATTCATTGTTGACAGTTGTCTGGCAGATGATTGCATAGTATTCTGTCACTTACCTCCAATGTAAGAGAGAAATGTATAACTGATCACCAATGTAGGGGAACTTTCACTTAAAATGTATTTATTATTTATTTATTACAGATGCTTATATAGCACCGTCAATTTACGCAGCGCTTCACATATATATTGTACATTCACATCAGTCCCTAACCCTCAAGGGGCGTATAATCTAAGGTCTCTAATTTCCATAAATACATTAACATACTAGGGCCAATTTAGACATCAAATCTAGGGAAGCACAAAAAAGAAAAATCTTGTGGTCAGTGGAGCAGTATAGTTATGGAGCCAAAACTATGAAGATACAGTTGATCGACAGATTGGCCTGCTAACTGACTGTGATTTATAGTTCACGAATTATGCATCTTAGCTGGCTGGAGGATACACCGAACAAAAGGTCCTGGAGTTTAAAAAGTAGTATTTTAATAAATATGCAAAACAGCAACAAAAAAAAAACCCACCAGAAACCAATTTATTTTGGGAACTCAACAAGCGCTCTATAATCAGCTAGAGATCAGCTGAACCCAGAGCAAAGTCATGCAAAAATTCAGACCAAGCCTCCATTTTCCTTGTCCCTCTTCTTTTAGCTATGTTCTAATCCATGGTAAGGCCAGGTTCTTGGTTGTCACATCTCCCTTCACAGTCTACTCACAGAACTGTATTGGATTAATGATTGCATGACTCTTCAGACCATTTATCTATGGAGTATATTTTGCTGTTTAAGTGACTACTTGATTTGGTTTATGTGTACCTTGTCTTGTTCATATTGTTGACCATATTTAATAAACGCAACTGTTACATAAAGTTGCCAGTGTCAGTGGCAGACATGCTGCTCTGCTGCTGACATGGAAACCTATTAAGTTTAATTTATTATGTTTTTTTTTATATATTTAGAAAACAACCCCTACAGAGTTTCCCCCTTCCTCAGGCACCCCACACAAATATATACTATATATATATATATACACAAATATATATATATATATATATACACACACATATATATATATATATATATAATATATATATATATATATATATATATATATACACACATACATACATACATATAAATATATATATATATACACATATATATATATACACATACACATATATATATATACACACACACACACACACACACACACACATATATATATATATATATATATATATATATATATATAGTATATATATAAGAGATATATATATATATATGAGGTGCTGCTTAGGTGGCCCTGTGCTGATCACATGCACTATCCCAAGAAAAAAAAAAACCTCTCTAGCAATACACTCCAACCTGAGCATGTGCAGAGTATCTCCACAGATATGTTTTATCAGGAGATTAGAGGGGGACACTGGAAGAAGGGGAGGATCAGAGGAGTCTGGATCAAACAGCATTTTCACAATGCTGAGGATTAACCCCTTAGGTTCCACAGTGAGTATAACAAGCATGCGTTACTGCATATACAGACTTATTTTACTGTTGTGGTTTTAGTAACACTTTAAGGGGGCATTATTAAAATGCAGTAAAATGTGGCTCAACCACCTATTTTTACCACCACCCAACCACAAGTGTAAAACCTAAGGGTGTGAATCAGGTTTAGAGAACAGTAGTTTCAATAAGAAGCTAAAATCAAGAACACATAGACATGACTTCCACCTAGCATAAGGAAAGTTTAAAACTAACCATAGAAAGTATTATTTTACTGAAAGAGTAGTTGATGTTTGGATCACACTTCCAGCACAGGTAGTGCATTAGTCAACAGTAAGTGAGTTTAAACATGCTTGAGACAAACATAGATCTATACTAGAAAAGTTAAAAAGAATAAAAAAGAAGCAGATTTGATGGGCAACCTAGTCTTTTTTCTATATTCACTCTATGTATCTATGGGGTTGATTTACTAAAAGTGGAGAGTGCAAAATCTGGTACAGCTCTGCGTGGCAGCCAATCAGATTCTAACTTTAGTTCGTTCAATTACGTTTAAAAAAAAAAAAACTGGAAGCTGATTGGTTTCTGTGCGGAGCTGCGCCATACTGTGCACTCTCAAGCTTTAGTAAATCAACCCCCATGATTCAGACAAAATAAGAACTGAGGAAAATTTAGTATGGAAAAATCTCCCCAAAGAGCAAAGAAACCGCAATAAAAATACATTTTCTAGTTGAATGAGAGTCAGGATTGTGTTACTGTCTGTGTTACTTTGAGAAAGATTTCCACTCACTTCCTATTCATGGGACAAGTGCCAGACAGAAAAGAAAAAAAAAATAGAAGTTTCCTTGATGGAGGCCCAGAAAGCATTTATAACCTGACATAAAAATCTCATCAGTGAGGACACATACAGAATGTAAAATCTGACAGAAGTAATAACCCTCTCCAATCTATCCAAAACTTAAAATGGTTGGTAGGGGTGACCGCACATATGACAGTAGCTGTTTCACGTTAAAAGGTCCTGTAAGCCAAATTCATAAGAACTGTCTATGTGGTTTACAGCCATCAATCAGAATCATAAAAGTGTAATGTTACAAAAGACACCAATGGCAATATTTCAGCATCACGCTATGAAATACAAAATGATGCAATGTTTCCAAGGTGACACATTGCAAAAAAAAAAAAAAAATAGTGCCATGCAAGGAATTATTAATAGTTTTTTCAAAGGTTACCTAAGTAGTACCATCTTTGTGCTCAATGCTTTATGTGAGTGGGTAAACATGTGCTGAACTTATTATTATAAGTATTTATATAACGCTGACAATTTATGCAGCCTTGTACATACATATTGTACATTCTCATCAGTTCCTGCCCTCAAGGAGCTTACAATATAAGGTCCCTAACTCACATACATACACATACTAGGGCCAATTTTGACAGGAGCCAATTAACCTACCAGCATGTCTGGAGAACAAGCTAACTCCAGGCAGATAGTTCTATGGTTGGGATTTGAATTGACAACCCAAGTGGAAGTGCTAACCACTTAGCCACTGGGATGCCCATGCCCATGCCTGTGCTGCTGAATAAAAAGCATTGCTTGAGCCCTTCAAAGATCAAGGCAGAAGTCTGGACTACAAAGAGCTTTGAGTACTGCAATTGCCAACATCAGTAAAAGGCATACTTGCCTTCTGTTCCCACCAAGGCAAGGGCTACAACCATGA